AGTACTTTCCGAGATAGGCATAATCTCTCTCATTCTCTCCTTCTCTATACTGCATACACAAACACACACAAAATAACCTTCACTTCACAATTGAAGGCACACCTCAGCTACTGAAGGGCTTTTATGATTGTAATACATATATATTTCTACATGCTTTCATCAAACATTTACTAAGTACCTATTATGTCCTAGACGCTGTGAACAACACCAAGTATACAAGATGAACAATCTATAGCTCCTATTAGATTTTGAAGAGTCTTTAATTAAGGAGACAGACATTGGCGGGGGGGGGGGTGTAATTTTTTTGAGCACACATCCAACAGAGCAATTTCCATTTACTCTCTCAGTCATCACAAGAGCCTCATGATGTAGATACCAATATTTTTTCCATTTGCTAGTCGAGGTTACTGAAGCTTGCGTAAGGCAAGTAATTATAGGATCACAGTGATGGGAATTACTGCCACTATTAGTGGAAGCTCACATATATATATTATATATTATATTACTGCTTACTAAGAATTATTCCAAGAACTTCACATAGATGAGCTTATTTACTCCTATCATCTCCCTTCTGCCAATAAGGAATCAGTAGCACAGAGACATTAAGTAAGCTCTCCAGAGCTATCCAACTAGCAGATGATAAAGCTGGAAGGCAAACTCTCACTTTATGATACACATTGTTCTTAATAACTCACAGACTCAAATCTGACTATCCCCAAATCCATGCTCATCACATTCTGAAACTGACAAGCAACATAGGGTGTCCCCAATTAAAATACTGTGTCCATCTTCCTGGTTGGAATACTAATGGAACAAAAAGACTGAAAGACAACTGTTTATTTCAACAGATCAAATGGTTTTTTTAATAGTTTCTGATCTCAATCTACAAATGGTACTCAGAAGTCATAAAATTCAGCAAAAACAACAACAACAACAATAACCCAGGGGTCCATTAAAGTTCCATTGCATGGCTCAGTCTGCCACCTATTTCTCCTGTTTAAAACAAGAGTGAGTCACTGGTAATTATTTACTATATAATAATGCTTTCCAACTATGAGTGGTATATTCCATAAGCTCCCCGAGAGCAAAACTTAGGTCTATTTTTACTCACCATTTTGTTAGCAAACTGGGCATCATGATCAGCACATAGCAGTCACTCAATAAATTTTTATTGGATATGTTTTGAGAAAACCTGTCTGAACAAGCACCTAAGAGTATTCCCAGGGCTGGGAAATACTGGCACCCATCTTGACTGCCAAATTTAAGGAGGCACCAAAAAAACCCTTTGGCCTCTGTCTCCAAGATGGCTTAGCACAGTATTTAACAAATCCGATCTTTACAGAACAGTTTGGTATTTTGTTCACCTGGATTATTTTGCATTTATTTTTTCTCTGCCCTTATTACACACACTCAATAAAAGCAAGATAAGGCAAGAATATACAGAAGTGACTAAGACATGCATCCTATCTTCCTGGACTCACAGGGAAGATTATTTTATTCGTGAACATGAATACTAGAGAGTGGTACACAGCATAAGAAAATCACACCTTGATATCTATTACTTTTGAAGTAAAGGGGTTAGGATTCGAACATCTAGTTGGAATCAGAACTTTTTATTTCTAAATGCTATTTAAGCTGATTTCTTTTCTATAATAAGTCTAGAAGAGACACAAACGCCATCCTGCAAATAAAACCAGTGAAACTTTTCTTTCTTCTTTTCAATGAAACGTCTAATGTTGGAATATGGAGAACAGTTATTTTAAACCTTACGTGTGATTCCTATCTTAGAAAATTTGGGGCTGAATCTAGCTGTAATTTACTGAGATTGTAAAAACCGTACTAATTCTCAGGCGTTTAGTGAGCATGATTTACCATCCAGTTAAGCTAAGTGGGCGCCCCAATCAGTTCTCCCTTTCCGCTGGGGGGTCTTGGGCTAACTGCTACCCCTCTCTGACCCTCAGTTTAATCCAAGGTAAAATGAGAAGTAATAATATTTAGTTCATGGGGACGTTATGAGAATGAAATGAAATAATTTATGTAGAGTGTCTGGCGCGTGGTAGTTACCGAGGCGGTGCCCCCATGGGTTTAATTAAAGCTCTGGCTCTCTGCCTCTCAGTGAACAAAAAACTTTGAGTGTCATAATTAATGGAAGAAATCCAAAAGAATAGAATGTCAAAACCACGCGCCAGATAGAAACGAAGGAGCTGGCATCCTTTCCAAACTCTTGGCTTTTTTTCCTCCCTAAATTTAGACTTTTCGGATTGCTTGAAAAGTGGCACGAGGCTGCCATCTAGTGGTTGAACGAATGAAAACCAAACCCTTGTATTTAAGAACCAGGGCTATGAATCCTTCCAAAGGGGCCTTTAATTTTAAAAAATAATAATAATAAAAGTTTTTTTAAAAACCACCTCCTGGGACACCTGGGTGGCTCAGCGGTTGAACGTCTGCCTTTGGCTCAGGGTGTGATCCTGGGGTCCTGAGATCGAGTCCTGCATCGGGCTCCCTGTGGGGAGCCTGCTTCTCCCTCTGCCTGTGTCTCTGCCTCTCTTTCTGTGTCTCTCATGAATAAATAAACAAAACCTTAAAAAAAAAAAAAAAAAAAAAAAAAAACCTCCTCAACACAAGACTTGATTGGCAGCAAAGTACCAATTTCCTTAAGCACAGCAGCAAAGCTACTGACACAAACACTTTTCTTAAGTTCTCTTCACTCTGTGCCCCATATTTCCAGCCGTCTCAGCCTCACCATCCTGTTAAAACCTGGGTCAGCCACCTAACACCATGAAAAGACTAATTCACACTGTTATTTTATTTCTAAAAATTCCTAATGCAAGGTCATTCCATGAGAGATTTCCATAATAATAAATAATTGTGCATAACAATTAATTTCAATTTAATTTGGATTTTCTATTTTGTGTTTCATTTTATTTTACATTCAGTTAAGGACACAATTGCTTTGAGGCTGTGGCTCTCAAACTATGATGGGCATCACAATCGTCCTGAGGGCTTTTTAAAACACAGAATATTGGACCCCATTACTACACTTTTGGAAACGTGGGGGGGGGGGGTTCAAGATTTTATTTATTTATTTGAGAGAGAGATAGAACACGAGTGGAGGGGAGAGGAAGAGGAAGAGAAAGAAGCAGACTGATCCAGGACTTGAAACCAGGACCCTGTGATCACTACCTGAGCCTAAGGCAGATGCCCAACCAACTGAGCCACCCAAGTGCCCCAGAAATGCGGATTTCTAACAAGTTCCTAGATGATATAATGTCATTGGTCTGGGGGAACCACAGTTTGGTCCCCAATTTCTAATGACAGAATTTCATAATGGGATACCTGGTAAAGGAGACAATTTTTAAAGGAGCACCTTTGCAGACTTTTCCAACACTATGCCCTGTATTTCTGAAATCCATCCATTCTCTCCAACCCCACAGCCTCCTCTGAACTTGTAACCACTGCCTCTTTCCTCCATTCCTGCAATAGCCTCCCTCAGTTTCTCCCTCCCTAGTAGATTCTTCATATATAGACTGAAATGATCAAAAGCATATCACCATTCAGGCCCATCCAAGGCTTCTAATGGACTTCGGGACCCAATTCAAACATATCTTCTTAAGACCTTTTATAATCTAGCCCCTGCTAGGTTAATTAATATTTAATTATAATATTATTATTATTACTTTAATATAGCCCACTAGGCCAATCCTGCATCTTACTCACTGTACTTGTCTGGCCCAGTGGTTCTCCAAGTGTGGTCCCCAGACCAGCAGCATCAGCATCAGCATCAGCTGCGAACTTGTCAGAGATGCAAATTCTTCAGCCCTCCCAGACCTGCTGATTCAGAAACTCTTGGGGTAAATCCCAGATATCTGTGTTTAACAAGCCTCCAGGGGATTCTGATGCAGCTAAAAGGTTAAGCACCACTGCCTCTACCGTCCTCAACCATTTGTCAAGCATATCTTACCTTCTCTCTCACTGCCAGAGTTTGGCACCTGCAGCTCCCGAAAGACTCCAGCCCTACCTGCTTCACCACAAAAACTCTTCACTGTTCCTCAGGTTTCAGCATTTATGTCAATCACTTCTTCCCAGATAGCTTCCCCATCTACCCGTCTAGATTCCAAGCTTATGTTAGGAATTTCACAGCACCCTGTACTTCCCTCAGCACCCAAGTCATTACCATAATATCATTTAAGTTGAATGTTCATAAGTCCCAATCCTTGTCCAGGTGCTGACTGCTTTTTATCATACGCATATTGTATCTCAAATGCCTAAGGCAGGGCCTGGCTCAGAACAGGTGTTCAGTATTCGTCGAGTAAGTATTACATGAATAGTTGCCCTCCCCACTTGGCGCCATACATAAGACATAAAAAAGATGAGTAGCAATGAGTAAGATGTTTTCTCACTCAGAAGATATCTGGCCTTCGTAGGAGCTCATTGATTTCACAGTGAGCCATGAGCAGCTCTGGTCTGAATAACATATTGCTGTTGTAAGTCAGCCTTAGAATAACAATGTGGCATGAGCAATGCTTTGTTTAAGTTCAACAAACACACGGAGGCCTTTGAGGTCTTACGATATGTCAGGCACTGAGCTAGGAACACCAAGTCTAGGGAGTACCTAATCTCTCATGTGAGATGCACACAGAAACAGAACAGTGCCACAGGATCACAGAGGAGGCAGAAACAGCATGGGCCAATCAGGACAGCCTTCATCAAGAAAAGTGAGTTAAGCCATTGTAGTGAGGGAATAATAGCCTCTGAAAAGATATATGTAAGTCCTAACTTCCAGTGTCTATGAATGTGATACTATTTGGAAAAGGGGTCTTTGCAGATGTAATTAAGAATCTTGAGATAAGATCATCCTGGATTTGGGGGTGGGGGGCTAAATTCAATGACTAGTGGTGTCCTTATAAGAGAGAGGAGAAGAGATCTGAGAAGAGGAAAAATAAGGAGAAGGCCATGTGACGATGGAGGCAGAGATTGAAGCGACAGAGCAAAGGATGTCAAGGATTGTCAGCCACCACCAGAAGCTGGAAGAGGGACTCGGAATCCCCCCTCAGAATCTGCAATAGAAACCAATTCTGCCAACATCTTGAGTTTGGACTTCTGGCCTCCAGAAAGGTGAGAGCATAAATTTCTCTTGTCTTAAGTCACCAAGTTTGTGGTAATTTGTAAGAGCAGCCCAAGGAAATTAATAAAGCCTTGAAGGATGAATTGAAAGTAAGCTGCTAACCAATGAAAATGGAAAGCATAAAAGTACACTCTTATGAAATCATGTGCTCCAGAGACAGTAAGAGATCTAATGATAAAACAACCCAAAAGGTCAAAAGGTAGGCTATCACCAGGTTGTACAGGGCTGTGAATCCTTTCCTGGGTTAGAACCTGGAATCATCTTAAGAGATATTTGGATGCTATTATAGCCAGCAAACTCAGGAATTAGAGAATTATCTTAGTTATTATCATTGCTCTTATCCAGACATAGAAGAAGAGAGAAGCACTTTAATACCAGCCAGGCCTTGAACCCAATCTCAGGAGCAGAAATCTAATAATCAGGTTGAACGAGGTAGAAGCTTTCTTTCTCCTAAGCCTGAAACCAATACAGACTCTGAGGCCTGTTCTCCCAAAGCACTCCCTCAGCTTTCAATGCTCTTTACCACCATGTTGCAGTAAAACCAAAGTGTTTGAATCTAAACTGAGGCATATTAACATTTTCAAAAGTTTAGTTGAGCACACATCAGTTGGAATCAGGAAATACCAAACAGTCTGTGGTCAGGAGGGCTCCACCAACCAGCACTAGGGGAGAGGTTTTCAGAGAGAAGACTTGGAAGCAAAGCAAGAGAATTATTTGAATGGTTGTAGCTTGGTTTTGCCTTATTTGGGAAAGCCTGATTGGTATTCATGATTATTCTTCTGTTTGATTTTCTCAGATTCCAGTACACTGGCTCTGGCTGACGATTCAGTTTGCTCAGTAGGCTACCAAGCACGAGAGCCATCCCAGCCTAATGGCCTCCTTGTTCAATTACTTTAACAAAAGCAAGCCCACACCCTGTGGCATCATCACCAAAAATGGATCCAGTGAGTTCCAGAAGAATTGTGTTTACTCCCTCACACTCCATGCCTGGCACTGGGGCACCTGGCCCATTGTTCTAGGACCAGCTTTGATGGGGAAAAGAGATGGGTAAAAACAACCACACCCACTCAGGTATGGGTCACTGTCCTCTCAGACTAGCCACAGGCTGCCTGTTGTAAATTTTATATATGTAAACCACACATATATACTTATGCACACACTATGTACATACTCACAGATATAGACATATATACATATACGCATATATAGAAAGCAAATACAATTTGCATTAAAGAATTTCTTTTTTTTTAAAGAATTTCTTTATTACTTCCTTTTCACCAAAGGACTTTCTTTTTTTCTTTTTACCTAAAATCACAGTTACTTCCCAGCAAGCACATAGTATGTATCTAAATGGTTGAATTCTAGGCTTTTGAACACATTCAGTTATTAGCAAGATACTCTCTGTCTTTGACAGATCCTGTAAAGTACTTAATTATAAAATGTTTACCCAAAGCATCTCTTCATAAATAACTCTGCAAAATAAGCCATTTCAAATGAAAAGATAAACAGCTATATTTTTAACCCAGAAAAGAACTCTCAGTCTACTTACTTTGAAATGTAGAATCTACCTTAACCAAGATTTAATTTTATTTTGAAGGTGGTCCTTCTCAGCCTCCAGGCCAAATGCCTCCATCATCCTACCTCAGAAACTTCACTCACACTACATTCAAGGCCCCAGAACTCACCAGTCTGAATTTGATCCATTTCCCAGACCCAGTCATGTGGGGCTCACACACCCCTGATCCTCCTTCCTCTGTGACACCTGCCAGCACAGCATGGAATCACTTGATCAACATAACACCTCACAGGTAACTCTCTGAGCCAGTTCCTATAATTACAATGCAGAGCCAAACTAAAATGGAGTCACTTTTTTCTTTTTTTTTTTTTTAATTTTTATTTATTTATGATAGTCACACAGAATGACAGAGAGAGGCAGAGACACAGACAGAGGGAGAAGCAGGCTCCATGCACCGGGAGCCCGACGTGGGATTCGATCCCGGGTCTCCAGGATCGTGCCCTGGGCCAAAGGCAGGCGCCAAACCGTTGCACCACCCAGGGATCCCATGGAGTCACTTTTTTCAAGGGAAAAAGCAGATATCATCAACACAAGTGCATAAAGAACAAAACCTAACTTCACCTAACAGGAGTTTATAACTCTCGTCAGAGATGGGCAGAAGATGCCAGCCAATACCTAAACACGAAGTCTGTTCACACCATCTCTGGACTTTCCTGTTGGCCTGACTCAGGTACCCTGATCCAAATAAAGAAGGAGGCCACTAGGCAACCAATCAGATAAAAATAGCCAAATAGCTTCTGTATTTACCCTATAAAAATCCCTTTGGAGCAACTTGGAACTCATTGCCCGGTAACCGAGTTTCCCTCCTTGCAGGTCAAAACCATTGCAATAAACTCATCTTTCTACTTTGTTTTACTCAGTGTGCAATATGTTTGGTTTTGCACAATAACCTGGTCCCTGGAGAGAGGAGAGGCCATCGGGAGAGAGCATGTACTCCACTAGTCTTTGCCTGCTCCTTGCTAGTCTATATCATCTGGATTCAACTTCCTCTTACGCCTTTTCCAATTGTGCTGTTTAAACTTCTTTCTACTTCTTTATCACTATAATGTCCCCCTGCAGTTCTAAATATCAAGGGGCCAACATACTAAAGCTTTCATAGCAATAGTCTGCAAAATCTTTGCAGTGAAGAAAGATCAAGTCTATTTTAGTTCAACAAGCCTTGAAAACATCCTAGTTTCATGTTAATTTATGTCAGGATATGGTGAGAGATGGGGCCAACATTTCAAACACACATATATGACACTTAATTCGCCAATTCAAGTGTGTAAGAAATTTCACATTTATTTCCCTTTCACCCAATTCTGCCATTATTTCCTTCTCCAGAGTTACATGGGAATCTGGGCAGCTTACCAGCACCTGAAAACTGAACAAAAGTCCACATAATCTTCATTGTGATTGCTGCCACTATTCTTAACATCTGTTTTTCAGGGCCCCTGGAAGTGGGCAGTTTCACTGCTGCCTCATCAAAGGGGCACAAGAGACTTTGCCTAGCTAAGTAGCCCCAAAATTCAGCTTCCTGGGCACACAGATGGCAGTTCCTTCTGAGATTTTGTTACTCTCTAGGTGGGCACTAGGGTTGCAGCCAAGATTCAAGACTATATCACATCACATCCCTCTTGTACCTTGGCCTCTCACCATTCTAGGAAAGAGTGCTTCCCTGATCATGTAGCTGAAAAGTCTCTCCCATGCAATCTGATGTCTGACTCTGCTAGATCTCTACTGCACTAGAATGAATGGTCAAAAGGTACCCGTGTGCCTGCTACTTCTGTCTCTATGAATTTTCTCCAATGAACACTGCTATCTCAGATCTGACATGTGTGCTCTCTGGTTATCTGCCTTTACTTGCACATCACACATCCTATGCCAGAAAAAGAAAAAATAAATGAATCTCTAGATTAAGAATCACTTCATTCTTTTTTTTTTTTACGAGAGAAAGTAGGGGTGGGGGATAAAGAGAGAGGGAGAGAATCTTAAGCAGGCTCCATGTCCAGCATGGGGCCTGATGCAGGGCTCAATCTTACGACCCTGAGATCATGACCTGAGCTGAAATGAAGAGTCAGATGCTTAACTGACTGAGCCACCCAAATGCCTCTAAACTATTTTTTTTTTAATTCTACAGACAGAATATTAAAGGATCCCTTGGTGGAGAAAATAAATGCCCATTAAGAAGCTCTATAAATAATATTTTTTGAAAAAGATTTGTGGATAGCTCCCCACTTATTACTAACATAGCAGAGGTCATCATGCTCAATTACCTTGGTATAATTGACATTTTGGACCTCATGATTCTTTGCTGTGAGGACTGTCCTGTGCATTATAGGATTTTTGGCAGGATCACTGGATTCTACCACTAGACGACAAACCTTTTACCCAGTGATGACAATTAAAAATGTCTCCAGACATTGCCAAATGTCCCCTGAGGGGCAAAATCACCCTCTGATGCATGACTATGGTTCATTTAGAAATATGAAGGTAAATGCAAGAGGAAGCAGCTACAATGTAAGTGCTTTGTCTCTACTGAACATAAGGTATGAAAAGTGGGGTAGGAGATTGAGTCATAGAGATACAAATGGAATTAGCTGTTACTATTAGTGTTAAGAAGACAAAAGGTGATAACCGCCAAATGTATAAGACAAATAATGTAAAAACTTAGAAAAAAATGTTTTCCTCTGGGAACTGGGGAGTTCTTCACTGAAGAAGCTGTGTTTGAAAACTATCTGAAAGGGCCATAATGACTGAGAAGGATGGAGGAAAGAGTGGGAAAGACATTTCAGACAGAGGAATTTATGTTTAGGTGACATCAAACATGCAAGTCAGGGAAAACACTGGAGGACAGAGGGCTACAGAGTGCAGTGTCACCTAACTATGACATGTTAGTCATGTTAGACCCTAGCATTTTAGAAGTCTGCTGCAATTCTAAAAATTTTAATAGGGGGATGTCAACCCAGTATGGAACTAGGAAGTATCTACAGGGTTCTAGTCTTAGAGAAAGAATGAATGTGGTCATGTCCAGGTTTTAGAGAACTACAAGATGAAGAGTATTGATCTAGGATGTCCTCATTATCTGAGGATAATTAATAACAGAAAAATTAAATCTAGTGAAAAAGGGACTCTAAATTCATATTAAACAATGAGAAAAAAATTTTATACGGACATTTATAATGGGAAGAGAAACCAAAGGTTATAAATTAATTTTATATATTTAAAAGTTAGTTTATAATTACAAATATGTCCTAATTCAACAAACAAAAAAATGGATTAAGTTTTTAGTTTTGGCATGATTCTTTTGATAAAATTGATTAGAATCATAAGTCAGTTTTCCTTCACATTCAATTCTCTGATGTTTTTCAAAATATTTTAGAGCTTCTTCAATTTTTCCAAGGGCCTCTCCTTATCCTTTGATATTCAAATCGTTCCCTCCTGAAATATCTATCCCGTCATCATCCTTTTTACAAAGTTTGCAACTTCATTTTGTAATCCATGTGTGTCCTATATACATTATATATTCTATTTGACAAAGACATTGATCTAATGGGTGGATTAGACACAAGTGCTAATGAGGGAAAGAACCTCTGAAATGAGGCTAATTTTGTAAGTGTTTGGTTCTTTAGTGAGCATGTTCATATTATGTCTACTACTGCAACTGTGGGGTAACTTGCGTCAGTAATTACATAACAGAGACTCCCAGTACTTACTGGGAGTAAGTCTGGAGCTTATATACAAACTAAAGTTTCTGTTGTCTGAGAGAACGACAAGGGAAAGTTAGTCAAACATTCTAATTAACCAATAGTATTAGGTTTACTTAACTTTTAATCTAAAACTCATGGGAGTAAACAGGGAGACAGCATCTCACTGTAATAGCCCGTGACTAAGAACGAAGCAACAGATTCTTTCTCCAATCAGAAAAATGAACTGTCACAACCCAATATTCATTTAATGCCCTGTTGCAGTGAGTGTCAGCATTTGGTACCAGTAATTAGACTAGAGTTAGCAAAAAAAAAAAAAAAAAACAAAACATCAAATGTGTCCATTTGTAGAACTTTCTGAATGACAGAGTGACAAATAATACAATTTGGGGGTAGTTCTTTTTCTCTCGGTTATGAGTAACTTTTTCAACTGGCATTGTCCGTAGAAACATAAGACCTGGTTACCAAATGTAAATTACTTAGACTTTTAGTTCAAAAACAGCATGAATAAGACACTGCATCAGAATCACTCTTTCTCTGTAGAATTCTAGCTGACCTTCAAATCCATGTCCCTTTCTGACTTTCCTTGACATGATACTGCTTTTAGCATTCATCTTTCAGTCTAATCTTTACTAACCTTATAATGAGGTGGTTTCAGAGTTTAAAAAAAGAACCCAAACTGGTAACATCATGATCATTCTGGTTGACAATATTTTAATACAAGTTTAAGCAGCAACGATAAGGAAACTTATTAGAACATTCCCTTCAAATCCTGAGATTAGTGAGTTTTCAAAAATAAATTCTACTTTGCATGACTTTGCATAGACAGTTTGACTCACTTAATCCTTGGAAAAGCTCATTGTCCCTTTTAGAACTGGCCCCTGTATTGCAGAATATGTGGTTGCCTACTTAATGCTATTGAAAGGGCTGTCTGTCTCTGCTAGCGTTATGTCTTATTGCCCAAAACACCCACTTTGGCAATCATTTCTTTAGATTTTGATATCATCTTTCAAAATTTGTATTTTGCCATTGGTAGGTATGAAGATTATATTTCCAAAAATAGCCACAGTAATATTTTCAGTCTTAAAATGCTCTTCCAGAACCTTGCAGCTGTTTATCAGCAAGTGGAGCCTATTTTCCCTGCCCCTGAAATGGACTAGGCTACTTGGCCAATAGAGAACAACAGAAGGAATGTGGCATGACTTCTGAAACTAGTTCATACAGACCATATGACTTCTGGCTGCTCTCCCTATCTTTCTTTGTCTGTCTGTCTGTCTGTCTGTCTATGTGTTCACCCTTGGAACTCAGCCACCATGCTAGAAGAAAGCCCAGCAACCACATGGAAAGGTCACATGCAAGTATTCTGGCCACAGCCAAAGCTGAAGTCCCAGGCAGCATTAAGGCCACACAGATAAGTGAGTTAGTGAATGACCATTCAGAGAATTCCAGCTACCAGTCTCCAAGCCACTCTGGTCTACTCTAGCTGAATGTGTATTTGTTAGTAAGTAAATGGCATCACTATTTTAAGTTACTTGGCTTTGAGGTATTTTGTTGTTGTTGTTGTTGTTTAATGTAGCCATAGATAACCAACAGGAATAATACATTAATATTTATATAGGTTAATTTTTCAGATTAGCTGCCACTTTGTGGTAGATACAAGGACCATGAACAATTACAACATGAAAAGAAAAGGGAAGAAGAGAGATAATGTATCAAAAGCAAAACTTTTTCTGCTTATATTAAGCAGCTAAACTATAAAACTCTTAGAACACAGGGGAAAAGCTTTGTAACATTGGATTTGGTAATGATTTATTGGATATGACATCAAAAGCATAGATAACAAAAGAGAAAAGAATAGAAAATGGGACTGCATCAAAATGAAACACTTTTGTGCATCAAAGAACACAATCAACAGAGTGAAAATGCAATCTATGGAATGGAAGAAAATGTTTGCCAACCATATATATGATAAAGGGTTAATATCCAAATTGAATAAAGAATATCTACAACAACAGCAAACCTGATTTTAAAATGGGCAAAGGATTTGAATAGATATTTTTCCAAAGAACATATACAAATGGCCAATAAGAACGTGAAAAGACACAATTCCT